GCCAGCGCCTGGGCCTTTGCATGTGCTATTCCCTCTGCGTGGAATCCTCTTTTCCCTGTTCATCCAGTTCTTCCCATCTTCAATTCCTTCTCACTTTTCCCTCTAAGTTGACACCCTTGCTCCAATGGCATGGTGTATTTCCCCTAGCACTGGCACTGTACATTTTGTTCCTTAGTTATTTTTTTAAGTATTTATTGATTTTAGAGAGAGAGGAGGGAGAGGGTGAAAGAGACACCGATGAGAGAGAGAAACATTCATCAACTGCCTCCTGCACTCCTCTTACTGGGGTTCAAGCCTGTAACCAAAGCATGTGCCCCAGCTGGGAATTGAACTGGCGACCTCTGGGTGTATGGACTGAGTGTCCACCAGCTGAGCCACACCAGCCAGGGCTATTGTTTGGTTACTTTCTATTGAATTTCTGTTTCCTCCCACCCACTCCTGGCTACATTTCCAGTGCTCAGCACAGTGGCTGGCGCATGTTAGGTACCATATATATGTCAAGTACTAGTATGTGAATTTCATGGCAACCCTGTGAAACAAGTAGGGTTGGGATGCCCACTCCCGTTTTATGGAGGAGAAGAATGAGGCCCAAGAGGGAAGGGGCCGGTCCAGTCTTTTGATTTATGGACCCAGTCAGACCTGGTGATGATGGTCCTGTCACTTCTCTCAGACACCAAGGGACAGCGAAGGCTGAGGGACGGGGCCTCCTAGCCAGGAGTCTTCCAGCCTCCCCAGATTAGAATAAATCAGCAATAGCTGCTGTCCATCCCTTGCCCAGGGCACAGGAGAAGGCCAAGGTGGTTGACAAGAGAGAAAACTTAAGTTCTGCTCAGAAGAGGGCTGCGGCTGGGGGGCCTGTGCCCATGTGTTGAAGAGGTCAGAGCAGGAAGGGAGGTGTTGTCCCTGCCCAGGACGGTCCAGTGGGGACTGCGGGCCTCTGTCTTCCTCTGTGAGTTTCAAGCATTGGGTGGCCAGCTTGAACTCAGCCCTTGCTCATGTATTTCTTATTCCTTTAACCTCCGTCATGGGGAACATGCGCTCAAGGGGAAGCATGCTCTGGAGGAGGTGACGTGGGACCAAAGCCACCTCCACACTCCTCCTTTTTGTGATTTTGGACAAGTGACTTCACTTCCCCGGGCCTCAGTTTCCCCATCTATATAAGGAGGGGAGGATAACGGCCCCTGTCCCACTGGGTTGTTATGGGGCTTTTACGGATCTTTGAGGGAAGTTCTTGCTGAGGCGCCTGGCATAGAGAACTTGCTTGACTTCCCTGTGAACTAGATCCCAGCTTCTTGATTGTGCAAACACAGAAGAGAGGCTCAGAGTTCTCACCAGGCAGGGCAGGAACGTGCTAGAAACTAAAGGCCTTTGGACATCCCTACCCTCAGGCCATAGGAAAACATCAGCTGTGCATTCCCACATTAGCGAACACAAGAGAGTAACATATGAAAGCTGGACATGGCTTGGGTCAGACTCCGTTGTCCGAAGGGCTGCTCCATCAAACTGTGCCGTCGCCGAGGCAACACTGACAGCTTTCTGAAACCTTTTTAAATAGGAGAGGTCAGGATCACACAGACATCGAGGGCTGGGCAATCTGGGAAAAGGGGTCAAATCCCCCACGGCGACAATCTACCCTTATGCTGGCTGCTCCATCCCCCTGCAAAGGGCCCCTTCTACCTCGCTCTGGCTGTCATCTCTGGGGGTGCACAGTGCACTCTCCCTCAGCCTTGGCTGGGAACATGCAGAGATCTCAGGAACATTGTACTCTGTCTGTCTGGCTCCAGCAGGACCTACCAGGTGCCAGTGGGAAAGACAGACAGGTCTTGGAGAGCTTTCCAGAAAGTTCCTTCAGCCCTTGATATCGGTGGAGGGGACACTGCTCCAGCATTTTTATGTTCTGTGCCAAGATGCCTTCAGAGAGCTCTGGACAAGGGAGGCAGCTTGTGGATGCCTCTGCATTGTCGGCGGTGATTGGCTGTGCTGCCTTAGATGAAATCCTTTCCCTCTCTGAGCTCTAATTTCTTCATCACGAAAATGAGGAGAACACTGGCCTGCTGTAGGGAGAGGTGACAAGGATTCTGCATAGCAGCCTGCAGATGCAGATATCCCAGAAGCCAGCTCCTATGAGCAGTGGCTCCTGGAGACCCGGCCGGGGCCAAGGCCACACCAGGCTTGTCCACCACAGGCTTTGTGCTGCCCAGAGTCCTTCAGCTGGTCTCGTGTGCAGCCATCATGAGCATCGTTGTCAGAGGCTCTTAGAGGTCTGCAGGTGTTCTATCCTTGCTGCCCAGATGGGAACGGAGGCTCAGAGAGGGCCAGGGTCTGACATTGCCTGAGCAGGACGCAGCTGTGTCCTTGATAATCTGGGGCAAGTTGGTGATGAAGAACCTGGGGCCAGGCCTCGGAGTCAGAGAGAATGGGGGGGGGATGGGGGGTAGAGATGGAGAGATAAGAGATGGAGAAAAAGTGATCACTGGTCTTGCCTTCCTGAAACAGTGTCTGTTTCCCCACTGCTGGTCCACATGCCGCATGACTTAGGTGGGACAGACCCCACCCGCTGGTTCCAAGCAAGACCATGTGACCCAGGTCTGGTCAATTAGAATCACAGTGGTAAGTGCAGGGATGACACGGGACCAGTCCCGGCTGGAGAGAATCATGCCCTCGCTGGGACAGGGGAGCTCTGTCTCAGAGGTGCGAGCTGGGAGGACGTGAGCTCAGCGGGTAGGGCCCTCTGGCCAGGACCGAACATGACTGGGAATGAAGTCCACATGGCAGATGGCAGAGCCAGGAGACGGAGATGGGCATCATTCGAGCGCCTGGATCTAGCCACACCTGAATCCACTTTTAAGCTTGTTATGTGAGCCAATCCATTGCTTGGGATAAGGTTTCTATGCCTTGCACTGGAGAGTCCTGGCTTGGAGGAGGAAGGAAGGTGAGAGGGAAGGGTGAATATTTAATAACAAGTGTCTGGCCCTTGCCAGTCTGGCTCAATGGATAGAGTGTCAGTCTGCAGACTGAAGGGTCCCAGGTTTGACTGCGGTCAAAGGCAGGTGCCTGAGTTGTGTGCTCATTTCTCAGTGGGGGGCGTGCAGGAGACAGATCATTAGTGGATGATTTTCTCTCATCATGGATGTTTCCATCTCTCTCCCTCCCTCTCCTTTCCTCTCTGGAATCAATAAAAATATATTTTAAAAACAAAACAACAAACAAACAAAAAACAAGTGTCTGAGGGTAACCAAACCAGCTTTTTGACCTTTTAGAGAACGGGGTTGCAGACAGGAATTTGGAGGGAGAGAGAGAGAGAGTTCACCCCATGCAGAGGCTCCCAGCTCCCCACTCCACGCCTCCCCAGCACAGAGCAGTGTAACAATAAGTGCTGTGGACACAGCAATACACACTCACTGATCTGGGCCCTGCAGAAAGGATGACACACACTCGGGGCAATTTCTCACCTCTTTGGGAACTAATATTTATTAGGCACCTGCTTCATACCAGGCTCTGATCAGATGTTGACATGCATGGTCTCATAGGAGGGAGTATCATCACCTCCATTTCACAGACAAGATAACCGAGGCCACGAGAGGCTGAGCCAAAGGCCTCAAGTCCAAAGAACTGGAGCAGGCCTGTCCGACGCCAAGCCCTGCCCACGACACCACGCTGCACACAGTGGGCCTCGTGGGGACTGAAGAGGGTGGCACAGCGATGGGTGAGTGGCAGAGCGGCCGTGGCTCCTTTCTGACCTTGCCCTCTGACAGAAGCTCAGGAGGAGGCCCTGGTCTCCCAGACCCCCCGCGGCAACATCATGTTGGATGGAGCAGGGGGAACGGGCTGGGGGTTCCGGCTTAGACCTGGGAGGATCTGGACCTGCAGATGAGTGTTCTGCCCAGGGCAGTGTGGACAGTCCCTGGCAGTGCCTGTACCTGAGCCAGGCTGAGCTGGGCTGACAGGGAGTGCCGAGGGCAGCCCAAGAGCCAGAAGGAGCCTTGGCAGAAGCCGGGAAACTCCGGGATGGTGTGTGTCTGTTCTAATCCAACGTTTCTTTCCAGTTGTTTTAGACACGATTTGAAACCTTCACTGTGGCTTTTGCAGCCAGAAAGGATGGGTCGCTGGGGGTGGGAGATGGTGCCTTGGAGCTCCTTCTCATGACACTTGAGGACTAGCTTTTTCCAGAGGCATCCACCACACCGAGAGATAAGGAAATCTGGAGAAAGCTGCCCACGCCAGCCCCTTCCCGGGGGTCACCAAGTACAGGCCACATTGAAGGCTCTGACGCGTCCTGCAGCTGAGAATGCGCTAGGACACTGATTTAACTACGCTTTCCTCTCTCACTGGACCACAGGCACGCTGAGAGGGAAGCCTGCGTTATTCTCTGCGGAGCCTGTTCTGGAACCCACTGGGGGTGAAGGAACCTCTCTAAGATTTCCCAGAGCCCTTGAGAGACCAGGGTTGAGTTCCAGCTGTGGGGCCCCAGGAGTGGTGGGCAGTGTGGGGTGGACATAATGATTCCTGTTATGGGGTAGGTGCAGGCCTTGGACAGCTCAAGGGCATCTCAAGGCTGAGAAGGCTTGGAACAGATGATGGCCTTCCCACCAACCCTGGGCATAGGATCTGGGTCTCCATCTGAGCAGTCTCCTGCCTGCAGACACCTCCCCACCTGCCTGAAATTCCATCATCAGCCAGGTATTCCTTTGAAGAGCCACGTTGTCTGTTCTCAGCTCATTCAGGGTATTGTGACCCTCCGGTTGGCAGGGGCCCCTGCAGAAGACTGGAGAAAAGAGGGGTCCTGCAGAGACAGGAGCCCCCAGTCGCCCCCCATGTCACAGCGGGAGGACGACAGGGAGGCGAGGCGTCAGAGACTCGTGGGGACTCGTGGGGCCAGGAGGGCTGGCTCAGGAGATCCAGGTGTCCAGGCCCTGGCACGTGTCCTGTGTTGTCCAGCCCGCCCGGGGCACAGTAAGTCCCGCCTCCTCCCGGGGTCCCAGCCTCCGGCGGGGCTGCTGTTAGGTGCCCACGGGACGCACCAGCATCCGGGTGGCGCGCAGCGAGTAGCTGGGGCCCTGGAAGTAGTGCCAGCGGATGCCATTGAGCTTGCGCAGGTGGCGGCCGGCCGCGTAGTAGATGCCGTTCAGGTTCGAGAGGCCACAGGCGTCAAACCACCACCCTGGGGGAGCGGAGGAAGAGGCTTTGGGAGCTGGAGGCCCTCCAGTGGGGTGAGGGCAGCCCCCTACCTCAAAGACTAAGCAGGCTTTTGACTCCCCCAGGAAGTCAGCTCCTGGGAGACGGGGGCTGGTGGGAGTGGTCAGGGGGGTGAGAGGGAGAGTCCGGGACCCTCTGCCCAGCCTGGCGCCCCTGGAGGGTGGCATCGGGCTCCGTTACCCCCCTCAGCCCCTCCATTCTTTCACCCTGCCCCTAATCCCTGTGTCCCAGCATCCCTGTCTCCTCCCCCTCGCCTCCCCTCTCACTCCCACACAAGCCCCATCTCCCTCTCTCTGTGGGGTTCAGTGCTCTCTGTCCCCTGAGTCTCTAACACCCTGGGGCTATCTCTTTCTCTCTCTGATGGTCTCCGTGCTTGCCTGTCACGCTGTGGGTCTCTCTCAAACCGGGATCCTCTCTCTGATGGTCACTGTCTCTGCCTTTCTGGGTCTGTCGGTCTCTCACACTCCGTGTTCCTTTCTCTTGCCCTGATCTGCATTTCTCTCTCCATCTCTCCTTTGTGCTTCCGCGCCCGCGTAGCTTTCTGTCTCCAGCCCCCTGTCTCTATGCCGGTTCCGCAGTCTCTCTCGGTCTCCACCTGTCCCTGGCTCTGGGTCTCAGGGGGTCTCCCACCTCCCACCTGTGGGCGGATGGGCGTCACCGCACCCCGCACCCACCTCCGGACAGCATCTGGGCGCACTTGCAGAGGCAGTTGTCGTTGTCTGCGTCCCGGGTGCTGAAGTTGGTGCCCTCCAGGGCCAGGCTGCTCTGGGGCCCCGCAGAGCCACTGTACCCGCTCAGAGAAAGCCTGGAAGCCACCCGGAGGTGGTGGTGGAGGGGGAGAAGGGCGCAGAGTCAGGAGGGGGCTGGCTGAGGAAGGGGCTCCGATCTGGTTGTTATGGGGGCGGGGAGCCCCAGCCTGGAGTGCGTGGGCCCCCACCCTCCTGGATTGCACTCCCTAACCTGCTGCCTCTCAGCAACCGAGCACCCACCCTGTGCCGGGCCTCCCTTGTCTCGATGCACCTGAGTCTTACACAGGAGCAGCATGATCACGGCAATAATAACAGTGAGGGCAATGGCTAATGTTGTAAAAAAAACATCTAGCATGTGCCAGGCATTGTTCAAAACACTTTACGTGGTTTAACTCAGTGGTCAGCAAACTGCAGGCTCACGAGCCACCTGCGGCTCTTTGGCCCCTTGAGTGTGGCTCTTCCACAAAATACCACGTGCGGGCGCACACATACAGTGCGACCGAAACTTCGTGGCCCATGCACAGAAGTCGGTTTTCAGCTCTCAAAAGAAATTCCAATCGTTGCGCTGTTGCTATCTGGCTCTGTTCACTCGTGAGTTTGCCGACCACTGGTTTGGCTCATCTCGTTCAAGCCTCACAACACTCAAGTATTTCCATTTTACAGACGAGGAAACCAAGATCCCAAGAAGCAAAGGAGCCGGCCTAAGGTTTCAGCATGAATGAGGGTGGGAGCCAGGCCCCAGCCCATTGGGCCTGGCCTGGAGCCGTGCATTTTCCTCCCCTGCTGACCCTGTGCAGCCCCACCCTCACACCTCACATCCACCCACCCCCTCAGGAGGCCGTCCCTGACCACACCAGCCCACCTGGACCTGTGCCCGGCGAACCCCTGTCCCTATGGCTTCCCCCTCCGCAGCCAGCTCGGGAGGGGTTCTGTATCTCTGCCAGGCGGTGAGTCTCACTCAGCTCTGCCGCTTGCCAGTGGCATGACCTTGGGCAGACAGCTTCGCCTCTCAGCTTCGGTTTCCTCATCTGCTCAGGTGGTAATTAGTGTGTTAAACCGACCTCGAGCAGCTATTGTGATTCGATGACTTCAGGGTGTGATGGGCGCAGAGCAGAGCGGCGCTGTCACGTGATAAATGCTCAGCAAGGTAAGGCTGCTTCTATTTGTCCCTGTGCTGCTGGCTTGGCACAGCGCCGGTACAGGCTGCTGGCCTGGTTGGAGTGTTGGCTTCTTGTAGCAGGGAAGGGGCTGCCCTGGCCACTGACATGAGGATGCATTTGGGAGCAATAAAGAAGGCCCTCCTGGTGATGGCAAGGGGACACCAGACGCTGCCAGGGCAGCTCAGGGACTCTGGATCTCCAAGGCAGAGCCTGGAGCTTTCCCATTGGGGCCCAGAAGGAATGTGGGGCCAGGGCATATGGCCTGGCTAAGTCCCTGCACCTCCTACCCATGGGCTCTGTCTATGGTGAGGCAGGCATATGGCCCTCGGGGTCCAGATCACTGTGGTCAGCCATGAGGCTCTGTGCCCTTAAACACGCCAGCTGGAGCTCAATCGACTGGCGTTGCAAACTGGCCCTGGCAAGAGGCCTGGCTGGCCAGAGGCTCCCAGGCTGGGGACAAGCAGGCTGATCCACCTGCTGACATGGTCCTGGCGTTTCCTTGTGGCCCCTGAGGGCTCCTCCTGAGGGCTCGGTGATGTCAGCTCAAAGCCAGGCTCTGGGCACAGGCTGCCGTTTGGGGTCCTACTCTGTCTGGGACTGTGTGGAATCAGCACTGGCCTGGCCTCTCTCTCATCCCTAAGTCCTCAGCTCAGCTCTGCCTCGCTTCCTCTCCCCTTTGGGAGCCAGCCTAGGGTCTGTGATCTCTGGGGGACCCCCAGTCGTGGACCAGAAAACCCCACTTGGCCCGTTGTTCAGATGCACTTTGAATATGTTCATAGCTCAGTCCTGGGGAACCCAAACAAACACACGAGTCTCTGGGGATCCCCAAGTTAGAAACATCCGGTGTGTCTCCCATGTGTCTGTGGATCTGCATCCCAGTCTATGTGTCTGTAGTGTGATACCATCTTCCAGGCTAGCGTGTGTGTGTGAGTGTGTGTGTGTGTGTTGAGTTTGTGCTAGAATATCTATTGTGGGTCCAGGGTGTGCTAGGGAATCTGCCTTTGTGGCTGGGGTTGTGCGTGTTTGCCTGTGAGGGCTTCTGTGAGGGACATTTGCACATGTGTCTGGGTGTGTCTGTGCCTGTTTGTGTAGCTATGCACTTGTGTGATATTGTGCTCTGCATGTACCCCAGGGGTGTGGTGAGTTCTGCACGTGTGAATACCTGACTGTCTTGTAATCAGGCCTGGGTGGGCATGTGCCCAGTGTCTGTATGTGTGCGCCTGGTGTCTGGCCTGTGCCTCCTCCTTTCCCTCCTCATGGGCCACTTTCTCTTTAGGGCTATGCCTGTGCCCCAGCTGGACTCCAGAAGCCCCCCTTATTGTGATGGGCAAATAAGGGCACCCCTCCTGCCCCGGATGCCCATGCCCCAGCTGCTGACTGCCAACGCATCACTGCCTTTGGGCTTTCCCATGGGCATCCTCCCAACCTCACCAGCAGGCTGACCTGGTCTGGTGGTGGCACAGGGACCAGCACTTGCCTCGTCACTCTCCTCCTGGCCCTCCTTTGGCAGTTTCAGGCCCCACAGTGCTTTCCAGGCTCTCCACCCCAGTTTCCCGAGCGCTTCCTGAGTGAGTGGGGCCTCTCCCTAGTCATCTCAGCCATCTTTGAAAGAGCCTTGCTCAGGCTTCAGGTGTCTGTGGCCAACTGAATGTCAACTCTTTCTTTGTCTCTTTCAGAACATTCCCACTGCCGGGGAGGTCCTTCCTATTCTCTCTTGGAGAATGCCTCACCCTTCACAGGCATCAGCTCAGTGCCTCAGTTTCCACATCGCTAAAAGAGGCACAGCAATGCTCACCTCAGAGTGTTGTGGGAGGTCAAGTAGAGTAATGTGCCTGGAACATGGTAGGTGATCAATACATGCTCATGCCTTTCCCTAAACAGAGCCCAGAACCAGGCAGAAGGAGGGAGGCCTCGGTGATTTTATGATACGCTCATATTCAAGCCCACCCTGTTGTTATAAAGCAGAGGTGCAGAGAAGCCAGAACCTTGACTCATCCAAGTTCTCAAAGTGAGCTGAAGCAGAGGCAGAATGAGCCCAGGCCCCCGATCCCCAGCCCAGGTGACCTTTCCATCTCCTCTCGTAGCACAAGGCATGCTGGGAAGTCTGAGCTTCTGTATGGTGACTGCCTTAGGGCGACTGACCTTGGAAGGCCCTTCCTGCTCACGAAACGACAGCATCAGCAGCACTGTCTCCACCCCACCCCGTGGCTGGGAGGTGCTGAGTGCTAACCGGCCGCCAGATCCCGTGATGCCCGCCCAAATGGGGGACAGATGGTAGGAACAGGGAACGCCCAGGGACTGACCCTTGGTGCAGACTTCGTAGCCACTAGCCCAGCATCCTCAGTCCACCCACCAGCCTGGGCCCTGAGCCCACCTGTACAGCTGCCCCTCGCTGCCCAGCTGGAAACGCTCATATTGGGCATAGGCCTCGTTGCCTTCCCAGTCTTGCAGCTCCACACGCAGAGAGTAGGCTGCCCTGCTGGTGAGATGGTGCACCAACTCGTTGCCCAGCCAGTGCTCCCCAGCTGGATCGCCAAAGCCCTAGGAAGAGAGGAAGGTCAGGGTGGGCTGTATGCCAAGGAGGGAGGCTATGCCTCAGGCTGAGAGGCTGGGCCGGGCCAGGGTCTGGGGTCACTTATCCAAAACCACTTAGCCTAATGATCAAGTTCACAAAGTACAGTGTAGGCAGAACTGGGGACAGGGGAGCTCCCCAACTTCTGGAGCAAAAAAACACTAAAATATTTGCAACTATAAAAGTCTGTTAAAACAATCGAATCACGTTCTACGAAGTTTAAGAACAGGCCAATCTAATCTGTGTTAATAGAAGCCAGAATAACAACTTCTTTTGGGGGAGTACTGCTTGGGGGGAGTTCATGGAGGGCTTCTGGGGTGCTGGAAGTGTCCTATATCTATATCTGAAGGGTGGTCACATGGACGAGCACTTACGCAAAAATGCACTGATGTTTACACTTAAGATTTGTGCACTTAGTGCATCTCTGTTAAATCTCAATTTAAAAATTAAAGATTTTAATCAACCGCAAAAATGATGGGTCAAACTTTGTTCAGTGACATGGAAGCAACTACAAAATTCCAGCAACATAGATGTGTAAAGGAAAGGGAGTCACGGGAGTTCTAGGGTGACGAGAAATCAAAGTCCTGGGCCAGAACAACAATTCAGCACCAAGGACAGGGCGCACCTTAGCCCCACTCCCCACTTTAGCCTTGCTGTGCTGCTGATTCGTATAGTGGTTAATATGCAGCACACTTTTCTGTATTTCTGGATCTGAGCACCCTCTATATCTTTGCTATTTTAATGACTGTTTCAAATAAAAAAGACTCAACAACACTCAGAGCTCAATTTGGTATTTAAGTATTTGTGAAATGGACAGCAAGCAGGCACACACACAAAAAAAATATTGTTGTATTTCCTTGTAAGTATCTTTGCCCATTTCTTTTGCTTTTGAGAACTATAAGAGCTTTTCAGCTAGCTGGCCAGAAATCATTCATTCATAATTTAATTGAAAAAAATTGGAAGACAATTGATATCTACTTCTTATCTTGTAAAATGCACATGGTTTTTGAGCCAGCAATTCCACATTACAGACAGATTTTCTCCTGCGGATGTGGTTGCCTATGCATACAAAGACAAGAAAATTCATATAAGCAGTGCAGCTAGGAGTGGGAGAGAGAGATTACTATTTTCATGTTCTCTTTCTTTGTAGTCTTACTTTTTTTTCTTTTTTTAGCACTGTATATATGTCATCTTTTTTAAAATTTAAAACAAAAATAAGTTAAAGTTTCATTATTTTATATATGTCAGAACTTTCTAAAAGAAGGTCTAAATTTAGAGCATAGAGTCCCTGGAAGTGAATGTGCACTGGGAAAGTTTGTTTGAAGGTGGTTGGTTTTGGGTGGGCTGCTTTTTTTTTTTTTTTTTTTTTTTTTTTTTTTTTTTTTAGGAAGGGCTAAGGACAAATCATCCCCCTGTCCACAACCCACCTCCCACCCCAGGTTTCAGGGCTGAAAAGCCGCTCCTCAGGGCGGCAATGTTACCTGTTTGTAATCGTTCCAGTTCCGCTGAAAATTCACGCTGCCATTCGCACGGCGTTGAATGAGGGTCCACCCACCTCCATTGGCTTCCATGTCACAGAAAACCTGAGGGAATTGGTGGGGAGAGGGGGTTGGGAGTCTGTAGAGGCAGCCAGAAGCCAGGTGTGTGGGCCAGCTCAAGTGTGATACGGCCAACAGAACCTCACGTAACAATAGGTGAGCCTGGTGGTCACGGGCATCAGAATGACCCAGGTTCAAATTCCCCACCCATTCTCATTATTTTCCTAGAGGGCAAGTGAGGTCCTCTCAGGGCCTTTCTTTCCTCATTTTTAAAATGGGCTGTTAATACCTTAACCTCCTGGCACGTCAGTTTCTCATCTGCAAACTGGGGTTGTTGTGAGAATTAAATGAGATGAATCATCTAAAGAACCGAGCCTACCATGCACTAGGCACTAAATGCAGGTTTTTCACTCATTATTATTGCTGGGTTGCTGTAAGGATTAAATGCTGATAAGTGTAGAGTGCTTGGCATACCGTATAGACTCAATAAATGCTATTCCATTCAGTGGACAAATGTTTTCTGAGCATTTCCTATGGGCCGGATTCCATTTAAAGCACTGGATGCCAATATGGGAGAGACAAAGAGTTCTTTCTCTCAAAATGCTTACCATCTATGACAATCACATCTTTCAGTCTAACCTTTGTTCACATGTTATTTTTCCAGTTCATTACATGTTCATTGTTCAATGAAGACAAACTTGGTGCCTGGCCCGGGGTCAGAAAAGTCAGAGACAGATCAGATGTACATTGACCCTCAGTTTGTAAACTGATTTGGTTTGGAGGAGATTGGGATAGTGCAGGAAGACTGTTGATGACAAACATTTGGGCAGCTACAAGGAGAGCCGTCAAAAAGGAGCCACTGGAAAACCCTGGAAGACTTCCCAGAGGAGGTGGCATTGGAGCAGGGCCTTGGTTGATAATGTGCCTGAGTCTGGCATTCTGAGTGGAAGGAGCAGCAGGAGGTGAGGCTCTGAGATGGGAAAGGCCTGCTCAGTAAGGGAAGACAGGGGTATCGTTGTGAGGATACCAGAGGGTGCAGGAAGGAAAACTGAGGCTCAGAAAGGGGGAAAGGGATTGGCTCAAAGCAAGTGAGTCTAAGGTAAAGCTGAGGCTTGAGCACAGATCTCTTGCCTCCCAGGCCTGCTCTTCCCTCTTCCCAAATTTCAGCCATTCACACCTTCCCAAATTCCACCAAAGCTCAATTTATTTAATTTCATATAGAATGTACACTTTAAAAGGACTTCTTCTAAGTACCATAAGTGGAAAGCTAACAGCAGTTGCCTTTGTTCAGCTTCGTTTAAAATAAATATAATGAAAAAGTTGTGTCACAAAATTCTAGCTAGAAATGGAGAGCCTGATCTCTCTCTGTTAAAAGGGGGCCCTCGCAGGTGTGTTAAAGATTACATGGAAACAAACTGAGCCATTCTCCTTGAGATACTCAGAAGGGCTGAAAGGAAATGGAAAAGGGAAGTATGAAGTGTGAAGACTGGCAAATTGTTCCTCATACCCTTCTACTCCTGGGCCTGGCCCCAAGCCCTCCCTCCTCACCTCCACACTTTCCCTTGCCCCCCTGCCACAGCCCCCGGCCCATCTGATAACTGGCCCTCAAAGCTCAGGGCAACCTTGGGAGCCACTCACTGAGGACAGTCCCAACTTCCCAGCGGAGCACAGAGCCCCCACTCCTGCCTTCACCTGACTATATGCCAACTAGAAATAAACGTCTCTATGTTAAGATCCTGGAATTTCAGGGGTTGTTTGTTACCTCAGCTAGCATTACCTTAACCAACACAGAACGGTTTCCTGTGACTCCGATTAAAAGCGCCTCTGGGGAAGACGCAGGAGAAGGGTTAACTTCCAACTTTGGGAACTTCCGTGTTAACCCCTTCTTTTCTAGAAGGAAGGGCCACCCCTCCTTCCTGGGGATCTAAGATGTGGGACAGGCCTGAAGTTGATGAGGGAGGAGGATGTGTTTGCGAAGCCCTTGGCTCAGCACCCCTGAGAGCCTCAGCCCCCAGGGAGCACCCTCACCTTTCTGGGCTCCGTCATATTGGCCACGTGGATGGTGTAGACGCCACTGGTATTGGCCCCGGAGCTCTGGATCTCTGCACAGTCCTGGAACACCCGCTCAGCCACAACTGGAGGGAGCAAAAACAACTGCAGGTGAGCTCAGAAGAGAGAGAAGAGGCCAGGTGGTCGCTCCTGCCTGCTTGGTGCCAGGCTCCTGGTTGGGAGGGGCTGGGCACAGGGAGATACACCAGACCTGGGAAGGCTTCCTAGAGGAAGTGACCGCGAGCTGGGACCTGGGTGAGGAGCAGGCGTTGCCCAAGTGGCACAGGAAAGGGTGTTTCAGGCAAAGGGAATAGCAGATGCCAAGACTCCAAGGTGGGAACAGTCCTGGTGTATGCAGGGAACAGGGCGCAGTGAGGGGAACTGAGTGAGGCCGGGAGGGGGAATGATTCACAGTATGAGAACCTGTCTGAGGCCAGAGAAAGCTCTGGTTCCCGATCAACCTGAGAGGAGCAGGGCAAGGCTGACTCAGGAAGGAGGACACACGAGGAGGGATTTGTCCTTGGAGGTCCCGTGGGTGGGCGGCTCAGAGTCCCCTCCACAGGCCACCCCTCCCCCTGGATATCCCTGCAGCCTGGAGGTAGATGCCCTTTATGCCCCCACTGTGAGCTGACCACCGATCTTAGGAGCCCATGTTTCTTCCCTCAGGAGAATATTAGTGTCTGAATCCCACTAGCATCCTGGGAGCCTCAAGCCTGATGTGCAAAAAAAAAAAAAAAAAAAAAAAAAAAAATACTGTTGACCAATAGAAAGGGATTGAAGTCCCCCTCTCTGCCTCCTTTCAGAGGGGTCCAATTATAGACTTGAGCTATGAGTCCTTCAGAATCCAATCTCTAGGTAGGTGGTTACCCACGGATGGGCTAACATTTCAGGTAGACAGGTATCCTCGCCAATGAGGAACCAGGAGGCTACCAGGGGGCAGGACTTTCTGTTCTGGCCCCACACTTGAACCTGGATCCCAGGTCCTGGAGCTGGGGCACCTGTCAGAAAGAAGCAGTTCTTCCTAGATCACAAATGAAATGGCTCAGGCCTCACCCCCACCAGGCATAGGCATTCCCTGGGCAGAGTCTGCCCGACTTAGATGGAGCCCTGGTGCCATCCTCTGTCCCCCAATCGCTGCCAGCCACAGCCTGGCATCGCACATGATAGCTGGATTCCTTGTGCTGTCCGGCTTTCAGCCCCCCATGGCGACCCGGAGGCAGCAGGCACCTTTTCCCGGGTCTTTCTCACCACGCCACCCTCCACGCCGTGGCTCCAATCAAGCACCCTAACCAGTCCTAGCTGCTGCCCTCGGTTAAAGTCCCCTTTCCTCAGCGCAGCCTTTTAGGCCTTTCGTGATCTGCAAAGTTCAGAAACACGGCCAGCAGAGCATCTGGCACGTGGTAGGCACTCGACAAACATGCATGTTCTTCTCCTTCTTTCAGAGACGCACAGGAGGGGTGTGGGTGGGGTGGGCATTTTTACAAGAGACACAGGCCATGAGTATCTTGTTCACTGCTGTATGCCCAGCACCCAGCACTGGGCCTGGCGCTCAGGAACTGTTTGTTGGCTGAGGGATTGAACTGGCCCCAGGAGGGCCTTGGCCACGTGGGTGGGGCCCGTCAGAAGGACCTGGAAGTCAGGGCCAGAGGTGCCACCTTACTTCTCTTTGGGCCTCGTTGGCTCGTGGGCAAGGGTGTTAGGATGAGAGAAGCCTTTGGGGGAACACTGAGTCTAACCCCCTGTTCTATGTAGGTGGGGAGACTGGACCCAGGGAGGGGTGGAGAGAGTCCAGCAAGTGGGAACGCTGAAACCCAAAAGTGTTCATCTAAGCTGGTGATGCCCTTGTTACTATCATCATTTCCATTAAACGGATGGGGACAAGAGAGGGCGGGGCATGCCCAGGGTTACTCATGGAATCAGGGAGAAGAGTCTGGATTGGCTCCTGCTGGGACTTGTCACCAGTATTATTATTTGTTGCTGTTGTTTCTATTTCACAGGTGGTGGGAGAGGGGTGAGGCCTCTCCCTTGGGTGGCTTCCAGGCTGAGGCTCAGGAATGAACCGGGAGGGTAAGCAGGATGCGTTCTCCCACCTTTCTCTCCCGGCACCCCGTCCCCCCCCCCCCCCCACACACACAGATCGTACCCTGCTCTCGCGGGCCCAGGGCCACGGTGCGCAGCAGGCGCTTCATGGACTCCAGCAGCCGGTCCTGCTGCCTCTGCAAAAGGCTGGAGTTGCTTCTGGCCGCGCGCAGGTTGCGTGCGAGGCCGGCGAGGGCGCCGTTCTGGCGGCTCAGCAGGCTCCCCAGCCGCTCCTTCTCCTGCCGGAGGCTGGCCAGCTGCGCCTGCTGCTGCGTCTCCAGGGCTCGCAGCCGGCTCTCCAGCGCGCTGCGGGGGGCGGGCGGACGGGGCGCACAGGGGTGAGCACGCCCTCCACACCGGGCAGCAGCCACACTCGGACTTTCCCCTGGGTCTCTGGGTGGCTCAGCACTACGGCCCCCGCTGAGGTTCAGAGAGGCGGAGCGTCTAGCCAGAGGTACTAAGCTCAGAGGCCCATGGCCCAGAGGAGAAACGGAGGAAAGAGAGACTCAGTCCTGTAGGATAGGTTTGGGTCCGCAGAGGGAAGAGGCGGGGCTGGGAGGAACATGCCAGCAATCGGTAGCCACGATCAAATCCCAATCTGCTCGCCTTTGGTCCTGCAGGCCCCTCTCCCAGGACCGTCCAGGGAGCAGAGGCCACCCGGGGATTTGTTGTCAGAGGACGGAAGAGCCTAAGTGCCCAGCAACCAAGGCCAACTGAGTCTGTTCTGGCTCCTGTTCCTGGAAATAGCCTGGAGCCGCGAAGAGGAGGAGGCAGAATCCCTGGCACAGGATTGGCAAGACGCCCAGGGCACACCAATGCCTCTAGGTTAACCCCTCATGTGGGAGAATAAAAAAGAGAGAAAGAAGAAAAGCATTTATGTAAATGTAGAGAGTTGCAGGTGAACTTACAAGAAAAGGCACAGAAAAGCACGTGGGAGGAGGCCGTGCTGCCTGCCTGCGTTGCAGAAAAAGCAAAAGAAAAAGCAAAAGGATTCACTAAGTACTGTGACTTCTGCAGAGCGGGCCTGAGCAGATGGAGGTGGGGAGGGGGAAGAAGGGTTGGGTGGAGGGAGCCGACTTTCCCCTCCATCTTACTCAGGTCTCTACTGTCCGATGGCATAAGCACGAGGCATTTTTGTAATGATTTGGGGAAAAGAAGTTTTTAAAAGAAAAAGGCTTTTGACTGAGCCCTTCCACGTTCGGCATTTTATTGCACAGACGTGAGACGTGGAATGCTTGCTGTTCATCGCATCCCTGGCTCAACTGCCAAACATTGGAGACAACCTGAGGACCCGTGAATCCGGGATGTGGAGATACAAGCAGGGGCGGGAGAGGAGAATGAGCACGTAGAGAACCGTTTCCAGGGCAAAATGCATACATATCTATATCCACGCATTGACTATTCACACAGATCTATGAGAAACCTTCTTAGAGCCGCTTCGAGAATGTCAGCTCTCAGGACCGGGATTTTTGTCTATTTGTTCACGTCTCTAACCCCTGGGTCTATAAATAGTGCCTGACACGTGGTAAGAGCTAAAAAAAAAAAAAAATAATAATAATTCCTCCTCTTCCCTGCCCCCTAAATATTATTGGTTGAATGATGGAAGGACACACACAAAACTAGGAATATTGGCATCCTCTGCTGCCGGTGGGTGGGTGGGTGGGTGGCTGAGGGGAAGGGAAGGGAGGGAGAGGTTTTCTTATGTGTGAGGTTATGCTGACCCATTCTCCAGGCTAACACACCACGCCCAGCCAGGGCAGAGGGGATTCCCCCTGGACTCCTAATTTCAGGAAGAGAGGGAATTGGGGCACACTCCGATTCTAGAAGTTTAGCCACCTCCAAGGGCCAGGAGCTAACCGATGCCATCCCTCTGCACGGACTTCTAGGCACCTGGTGCCCATTCAGAGCGATGGGAGGCATCCAGGCCTTTGCCCTGCCCCACCTGGGGGTGGGAGGGTGAGAATAGGAAGGCGACAAGCTGTCATTAACTGCACCCAGGTCAGAGGGGGCGGGGCGGTCCTGGTGGCCTTATCTGGACCCATCACATGAGCGGCAATCACACCTCGCCGTGTCCATGGGCCGTGGCACCCTGACCTTGACAGATTTTTCTCTACTCAGCTCGAAACGGAGATGAAATCAGCCTTGGATGTCTGCCTTAGCTGTACCCCATGACTCCTCCCTTTGTAGTTTGAAGGGTGTTCCCCTCACATGCACTTGCTGATAAATGCGGAGACTCTCTACCGTGCAGACAGGAAATTGGTAACTGACTGTGCTTGCTTCTGGGAAGGGAAATTGGTGCATGAGATCAGATTTGTTATTATTTCTTTTTATAAATAAATAAATCAAATGAAAACTTACTGGGTCAATTGTATGGTACATAAAGTGTAGCTCAATAAAGCTGTTAAATTTTTACAAAATATATAAATGGAGAAAGGAAGAAAGGAGGAAGGAATGAAAAAAGGAAGGAAGGAAGGAAGGAAGGAAGGAAGGAAGGAAGGAAGGAAGGAGAAAGAAAGAATAAGGGTGCTCTGAGCTCCAGGAAAATGCCTTTCCCCACCCAGGCCCTGTACCTGCCTGGCCCCCAGCTCCAGCCTCAGCCCAGCCCCGGGTCTACCTTCCCTCCAAGGTCAGTCTGGTTTCCAACCCTAATTTTAGTCCTTGTTGCTGCCCTGGCCTAGCCCAGCTCTAGCTCTAGCCCTAGCCCCCAAACAATGCCCCACTCCGGTCCTAATCTAGGCCCCTCGCTCGGTCCCCGCCCCTGTCCCAGGCACTAGCCCACATCCAGCTTCCAACCCTGGCCCTGGCTCCAGCCCAGCCCTGGCCCTCGGCTTGGGCCCCAGCCCTCCCCCGCCCGGTGCCAGTGCCCACCTGTTGTAGTCCTGCAGCCGGTGGAGCTCGAGGCCCTGCAGGAACAGCTGCTTCTCCAGCTTGTTGGTGGACAGTGAAGTCTCCTGCATCTGGATCTCCATTCTGGATGTCTGGTTCAGTACCTGCCTCGGCCAGCAGGAGGGGCGGGGTCTGTGTGAGGCCTGCCCGAGGCCTTCCCAGCACCTGTCACCGGCCCACGGGCTCTGCCATCCCAGAACCTTGCTGGCCTGTTTTCACCCTCCCAGTAGTTAGTTCCTATGGTTATTCATTCATTCACTCATTCATTCATTCATTCATTCACTCACTCACTCACTCACTCACTGAGTTTTTGATTTTCATCCTAAGTTTGCTCTTCCCATCAGTGCTCATGGCAGCTCCATTCCCCCTGCTAAGTACTGACCCCCACATCTAATCCCCAGCAGGTCCCATCAGCTCCGTCTTCCCCATGGCTACCTGACCACCCCCTCCCTGTCCATGGACCCTCCTCCCTCCTGGTCCTCGTCATCTCTCAGCCTGTGACCTGTGCCAGTTGTTCACGGGGCTCCCTGTTCCTGGCCTTGTCTCCTACAGCCCATCCTCTGTTCATAGTCTTCCCGCAGCTCCCACATCGTGAGTGGAAAAGCCCAGCCTGCACCAGCTTGAGAGGGCCTGTGATGCCACCTGCCCCTGTCACCTCTCTGACCCCTGGCCCACCACCTGCACCCTTGCCACTCCAGCTGCACCAGCCTCTGATGTTCCTGGAGATTGTCAGCCTGGCTCGGTCCCTGGGCCTTCATACAGGCTGCTTCCTGTCTGACTGCTCCCCCAGGAAAGGCTCCCGTCCCCCCTTCTCAGAGGTGCTTTCCTGGCCTCACAGTCTAAACCTGCAACTCACCCTCCCACCCTGCCCCCCTTGCTCCCACCCATGCTGCTCTCCTTAGCACTGTCACTATCTCACACACATATGCGGTTTGTCCTGTTTATGTTCTCAAACCTCCTTAGGAAGGAAGGAACACACCTGTTTATTCAGTGCTATATACTAATAACACGCCCCTCCAGCCGCGCCTGGCACACAGTAGGGGTTCAACAAACACGTGCCCATTTGTCAGTCGCCTTTTCATCCAGTTCCGTATTCACCCTCCCATTTATACAGCCGTCTCCTCTCTCAGTCAGTGGCCCCCTGAGGTCTAACGAATTGCTTATTTACTGTCTCCCCGAGCACTGTGAGCCCCCTGAGGGCAGGGGAGTGTGCTGCTCCCCTTCATCCCTGTGCCCGCACAGACCTGAGCGTTGGAGTCACAGAGGCCAAGGGGCCAAAGCCAGTGGCCTGGTGGGAGACAACCTTGTGACAGGGCATCAGGAGGGGCCCCAGGGGGATGCAGGCCCAGAGGAGGCCCTGGCATTACCCAGGAACAGAGGTCAAGGCAAGATGACCTGGGCTGTGCCAAAGCAGGTTTGGCTCAGTGGATAGAGCGTCGGCCTGCAGACTGAAGGGTCCCAGGTTCGATTCTGGTCAAGGGTATGTACCTTGGTCGCAGGCACATCCCCAGTGGAGGGTGTGCAGGAGGCAGCTATCGGTGTTTCTCTCTCATCGATGTTTCTAGCTCTCTATCCCTCTTCTTTCTTCTCTGTAAAAAATCAATAAAATATATTCAAAAAAAAAAAAAAAAAAGATGACTTGGGCTGCAAGCCAGCCTGGTTGGCCGCAGTCCCCCCCCTCCCAATGCCACCCGCTCCCCCCTGGTACCTGAGCCTCCATGTCGGTCAGCCGGTGGGCCTGGGCGGTGGTCTGGTTCAGGAGGCTGGTGCCCAGCTCCAGCACGGCGGCCGTCTGGTTCTGGACCACGTGCTGTCGCGCCTGTGCCAGCTGTGACCTCAGGTTCATCTGGATGTACCTTTCCAGCTGTGGGGAGACCATGGGCCCGGTCATGGGCAGGAGGTGGGGGAAGCTCCTGCCCCTTCCTATGTCTTCACGAAGGACGTGGAACAACCAGGAGAGATCTCCCTGCCAGGCCAGGCCCCCATTACCCTGCCTGGGCTTTCTCAGCAGCTTTCTCCCTGGCTTCTCTGCCTCCACCCTGTCCCTCTCTGCCTAGTCCATCCTCCGCTTAGCAGCCGGGGGATCCCGTTTAACTAAGCCAGATCACATTCTTCCTCCGCTCAAACCTCTCCCAGGGCCCTACCTTACTCACAGGGAAAGCCAGTCTGCTATTCCTGCCGCTTGCTGTGTGACCTGGCCTCCCGCCACCACTCTGATCTCTCTTTAGTCCTCTCTTCCTCCCTCGCTCCAGAGGCGCCGGCCTCTATGACATCCCTCCAACCCAGCGAGCATGTGCCTACCTCAGGGCCTTTGCACATGCTGTTCCCTCTGCACGGAGAAGCCTCCCCCACCCTCCCCATCACATGGCTCACTCCCTCATGTCATTTCAGGTCTCATCACTTACCAGTCCCTGACTTTATGTTACACTAGAGGCCTGATGCACGAAATTTGTGCATGGGTAGGGTTCGTAGGTCAGGCCGGCGATCAGGACCAAACTGTGGGGTGACCAGCAGGGTGATTGGGGCCTCCCACTGGCACCTGAATGGTGAGGGGATTGGGGCAGAGGGATACTAGCACCCACCTTGGCTGGCCTGGGGTGGAGTGTCTGCCCTCTGGTGGTCAGTGCATATCATAGCGACCAGTTGTTCTACTCTTGGGTCAATGTGCATACTAGGCTTTTATGATATAGGATATTTCTCTGTCTATGGCCTGTTTTACCCTTGGAATGTCAATTCCACGAAGCCAGAAATTTGGTCCTGCTCACCATTTCATCTCCATGTCTAGCAGAATGCTTATTGCATGCTGGGTGCTCAATAAATAAATGTTCAATGAACTGATAGAGCATAAGGGTCAGAGCACAGCCTCCAAAGTCAGGGCCATTACCCAGCTTCCTAGGGGAGAGCCAGCAGCAGAGAGCAGGGGGCACATCTTTCCTCACCTAAGAGTTTGCAGGTCCGTCTGTCACACTGGGCTTGTCGTTTTCCTGGCCCTCGCTGTCTGCCAAATAGGGCAGATCCGGCCTGTCCCCACGGGTTCTCCCTGCTTGGAAGTCCAGGGATCCCACCAGGTGATGCTCATTTCCCTGACAGAACTGCCTTCTCCCCAAGAGCAGAAGGCGCGGGTCTGGACGTGACACCAGGATCAAGTTGCAAAGGTGCACAATGTGTCTCAGGGCTCAGTGCCCCTTCTGCATCCCTCCCCATCCTGCACCCGTGCTGGCCTTCTCCCCCCCCCCCTCACACGCAATGCCAGCTTCTGTCCTCAGCTCTCCCTCAGTCTTCCAGGAGGTGCCACAGGGCGCCTGGGAAGCCTGTTCTCCCTAAGGAGAGGGAAACCTTGGCAGGGGACCCAGGCTCTGGCTGGTTCCTTCTTCATCTCTTCTCCCCTCTGCCATCTTACTTGTTGGCTCCTGTCCCATCCCATGTGCTTTTGAAGAAGCATCTTCTATTGTAGTGCAAGGTCAAGTCCAGAAGAGTGTGCATCTGGGTGCACTGGTATTGATTAAAACAATGGTTCTCAGAGTGTGGTCCTTGACACAGCACCCCCAGGGAGCATGTTAGCAATGCACCTTTCTAGGCCTCACCCCAGACCTACTGAATCAGGAACTCTGGGGTGACACCAGCCATCCCGGTGAGCCTGACACTCACTCAAGTGTGAGGACCCTGAGTGCCGAGGTCACAAAGTGACTTCAAACCCCTGTCCCATTGGCACCCCTTCTTTCCCTGCACCCTCAGCCCCGGCCCATGGTCCCCTGCAGCACACACATGCCTCCACAGCTCCCCTGTAAGAGGCAGAGGAGCCTGGCTGGTATGGCTCAGTTGCTTGGGCATCGCCCCGGGCACCGAAAGATTACCGGTTGGATTCTCTGGGCACATGCCCTGGTTGTGGGCTCCATCCTGGCAGTGGGTGTGCAGGAGGCAGCTGATTAGATCAGTGTTTCTCTCTTTCCCTTTCCTTTGCTTCTCTCTCTCTCTCTCTCTCTCTCTCTCTCTCTCTCTCTCATAAATAAATAAATAAATAAATAAATAAATAAATAAATAAATAAATAAAATAAAAATCTTGGACGCCCCAGACCCCCTCAACCATGCCTCCAATTTCTCTGGTCCCCTCAGTAATATAACTTATTGAACAAATTGTCTCCTTTTTCTCATCTCCATTCTAACCCTCACCTTAAAAAATTTAACAACATTATTATGGTATACTTCACACATATACAAAAAAAAAGCATAAAGAATAATACAGTAAAAGCTGTGTATTTTCCACGCTCAAGGAAAAAAATATCGCCTATTCTGTAAAATCCCGCTACCCCCACTCCCACCCTCACCCCCAGGACTCCTAGGCCCTGAGCTCCTGGCCCACACTCTCAAGCAGCAAGTCCATTCCTGCCCGAACACCTCTGCAGCCATCCCCCAAGCCTCTCGCTGCAGAGGGACAAACCGAAGTCCAGAAGACTTGCCAAGGTCACTACTGGGCGGGCTAGGTTCCAAGACTCCTTGCTCAGGGGCTTCCTCAGGTCTGCAGAGCTGGGTGGGACCTCGGGGTGGCTTAGGGTCATCTTGAGCGACAGGAACTCCCTCATTGGTCTCTCACTTGTCCTTTGGCCACAATGGGCTGAGTGGGGCAAAGGCTGCGGGCAGCTGGGGCTCATTATCTAATTTGCCTCACCCACTCACCAGCACGAGCTCTGGGATGGGTAATCCAGGCCAGATGGGCCCAGTATGGCCAAGGTGGGACCCTGGAGACTGATGTCAGTCTATGTGGGAGGAGTTGGGTTCATACCAGGGCTCAGGAGCCGGCTGAAAGGGTGGGGTTGGGGGGATCCCAATGAAGGTACCTGCATGTGATGGGGTGTGCCGCAGCTTCCTCCCACCCCACCATTAGACCTACCCCTTCCCCCTCACCCTCACGCTGGCAAGTTTTTAGGGCTAAGATGGGGACTCCCGGCACTCCTCCAGCCTGCAAAGAGACTGATCTTCCCCGCTGGCCCTGGGTTTGAGCTCTGGCTCTGCTCCCCTGCAGCGGTGGCCTCTGGTCATTGAGGGCTCGGCTTCTCTGAGCTCACTTACCAGCCTGGGGCATGGGGACGGGACACTCTGCTCCTCACGGAGGAGAGGGCGCTTGGAAAGGGCGTGGAAGAAAGGAAGGGAGTCTGGTCAGGCAGGGGCAGGGGGAGGAAGAACGGTGCTTCGGGAAGAGCAGGGGTGAGTGTCTGTGGGTGAGTCTTGGTGGCCAAGGAAATCTTCTCACACCCTTTTCCTCCCACAGTATTTAAATAACGAAGCCTTCCACCGCGAACAGATAAACAGCCTGGGTCCACCCATCCAATGGCCCTGCTCAGCAGCATAAAGGAAGGAACCTGAGGGGCTCTCTGAGGTATTTTGCTGAGGAACAAAGCCTGCACACTCCAAAGGCTACATGCTGTTTGGTTTGGTTTGTTTGTCTGACTCTTTGGAAAAGTCAGAATCCGAGGTTGCAGGGGCTCAGGCCCGGGGGCAAGGACTGACTACAGAGGGCGACAGAACTTTTCGGAGTGTGCGATGTCTCTATCATGACTGTGGTGGTGCTACATGACTACACATCTATCAAAACTTACAGAACAGCCCTAGCCCATTTGGCTCAGTAGATAGAGTGGTGACCTGCAGACCAAAGGGTCCAAGGTTCGATTCCTGTCAGGGGCATGTACCTTGGTTGCAGGCTCCTCCCTGGCCTGGGCCCTGATTGGGCGTGTGCAAGAGGCAACCAATCAATATTTCTCTCTGTCTTTCCCTCTCTCTTCCACTTTCTCTAAAAAATCAATGGGAAAATATCCTCGGGCAAGCATTAAAAACAAAACAAAACAACAAACACACCGCCTAGAACTATAGGTTAAAAGGGTGAATTTCATCGAATGCAGAATAAAATACAATAAAAAAACAACAACTCACCAACGCAAAGTTCTTTCAGACATCCCATATATAACATCATCATAAACATGTTTCCTCAGAGTAGTCCCCACCCTGAGTTTCACTCTCGTATTCTGCCAGGAGTTGTTTCTCCAGTACCTACTACGTGCTAGGCGCTTTGCTAGGCGCTATGGAATCAGGAGTGAACAAAATCGGCAAGTTACCTGACTCCAGTGCACTGCCACTAAACCCCTCGGTTAAATTCCAACATTGACGGGTGCTCTGAGGAGAATAAGATGGAGTCATGGCTGGGCTCCAGGGCACGGTGAGCCGGAGTGGCAGGGAGACCCTCCCCTGAGCTGAGAGGACGAGACGGGCCAGCTGTGGAAAGTCAGGAGGGAAAACCAAGTGCAAAGGCCTCAGGTGGGAGCCGTGGCACCGCGTGGTGCCTCAGTTTCTCCATCCATTAATGGGTGAACAACCTTGCTCCACAGTCTTGTTGTGAGAAAGAAATGGGATAATTCTCTCTCACAGGGGGTCCAGCGCACGGTAAGTCCATGCTGGTTGTCTTCCTTTATCCTGCGCTCTCTCCGGGAGGCAGGGAATGTTTTCAGTTCCGCTTCTTAGAGGAACCGAATGATGCAGGTGGTGGCTGCCCAGAACCCCACAGCTGGTCCGTGGTACCGCTGGGGCCACTTGACCTCAGCCCAGTCCTCCTCGGATCCCACCGGGGTTCCCGGGGCCCGTTCCAGGCCTGCAGGGCCGGCTCTGTGGCGGAGCAAACGCTCAGAGGCCAGAGGTGCGGGCTCGGGGGACAGACCTAGGGCTGTTTTCTCACATTTCCTGCCCACGGAGAGGCGAGGGAGAGGGTCTGTGTGCAGCCAGCCCGCCGAGCTCGGCTGGAAGGAAGGAGCCAGAAACACATGCCCTGCCCCCATGGGATGGCCGGGCCAGGCACTTGAACAAATAAACCCGTTTTGT